AAAAGTTAAGTGCTATCAATCTCCTCCTTTGTTAGTAGAGTAGTGCAAATTTTGGAATTTTCAATCCATTTTGTCTTGATTCCTCCCCAAGCAGATTTTTTTTAAAAAAAAAAAAAAGATAATGGATATTCTAGAAGGTTTCAGTACAAGCTAAACAAACACTGTTGACATTCTGGTAATTGAAATGTTTCATTGAAGTTTGTTGAACTGCCCTGACACATTTCTTCTCAAATTGGTTCAAGCTGAAATGCTATTTCACAGTACAATATGTTTTGTATGTTGTATTTGATCAGTGGATTGAGGACTTTTACCAATTAATTGCCTTTATTTTCTTAACTCCTTATTTCTCTCAATCCACTAGCAGTCACGAGAAGACAGAATTCTTTTCCCAAATAACAAAAAAGTTTAAAATGTGTTAAAATGTTCATGGATTTGGAATCTGACTTTGAACAGTGGAGCAGCAGAAGAAAGGCAGAAGCAGATGGTGGCCGCGAGTGCTCAGAAGGCTGTAAGAGAACGGTCCTGCCCAGGAGACCGATGGAGCAATTCAGATGCAGCACACAAATGTGAGCGGCTCCAGCCCTTTCGTTAATGAAACCTGCGGGGTCCTTGCATGTCACATGGGAGGAGGAAAATCCCCTTGAATTTGAGGCTCCAAGGGGCAGCTGTAAGACCTCAGCACTTACCAGATAATCCTCCCCACCCACAGCGTTAGAAGTCTCCACTCACAACATCTGCTCGGTTTTCTTTGCAGAAGGGTTATTGAAAGACAGCTTTTCATTTCGGTGCTCAATCATTCCCCCAAGTTTCCTTTGAGAAATGGCAATAACTTGAGTGCAAAACACCAAAACCAAGTGTGGCATGGGAGAGAGAACTTGCCACAAAGAGCAGCTTTATTTATGGCAGAGAATCATTTACTGTCCTGCACAGGGGTGGGCCTGAACTGTCTTACAAGCAAGTCTAGCAGCCAACAAGTATTGAGCATATTTTATTGACCCCTAAACATACTTCTTGTCCAGTCCCCAGAAAAGGATTTAAATTATGAATATTTGCTTATTACTGATTATTAATGCATGGAAAGTGCTGTATATGACTAATGCATTCTTTCAGCCTACCTCCTTTCTCGGTTTTCCCTCAGCTATCCTCATTTAAATTCTGAGTGGAGTGAATCACATATGTTTATATGCATTCACTACAGTGTTTGGGGATCCTCAGCTCATGGTGAGGGAATAGCACCTCTCTCTGGTAAAGCAAAAGGGGTTCCAATTCCCATTTAATAAAATGCTTCAATCAAAAAGAATTTTTAGAAAATAAGTTTTCCATGAGGGTCCTGATCCTGAATCCACTGAAGGCGATAACAAGACATACATTTGTGATGAGATCAGTGTCTAGACTTGCAAATTTGCTTTATTTAATATATGAATTGTTCCCTTATACTCTTTCATTTCCACTTTTTCTCAGTGGATGCATGAAATGCTAGAAGTGAGAAGCGATATGAAGAAAACTCCCATTGCACTTGCTGAGAATATACGACATACATGAAAATAGCTCATATCTGTGTCAAACTCCACAGGGCGGGAGTTCAGAGCATGAAGCTTGTTGTTTTATTTTGTTGCATTTCATTTCTACATTGAGCTAAAATCCGCAGCACATGCCAGAAAAAAAGTTGTGCATTCAGCAAAGGGCAAGCAAAATCTTTTCAAAGAGTTGCCCATTGGACAAGTGGTATTGCTCCCAAAAGCCCATTTCTCAAGACTTTGATCCAAAGAAGGATCTAATTGCCCAAAAGAAAACCTGAAGCTGTAATGCTAGATGATCCAGAGAAGCTGATTGGGGAATCACGTGAAGAGAGGGCACGTAGAACCAGCTAGGATTAGCCAACTGTGGAATTTCTTTTTGATTCCTGCAGCTGATAACCTTGAATTCCCTCTCTAAGGTGGCCAGCAGCATGAACCAAAGATAAATCCCACTACTCAGGGGGAGAGCTGTACGAATGAGGGTGGAATTTAGCTATTTCTGACAATTTTGAAGTAGAATACTCAATGCAGAGGGGACATTAAGACTGGGAACAGTAAGCAGACCTGGCACAAGTACGTTCAGGCTTTGTTTTACCATCTAATGTAAAAATGTATTGATGCAGAAATTTTTTTAAGGACTTAAATGTATGCTTCAAATGCAATAAAGTATTCTACATAAATCAGAGCATAGAAGCTGTTGAAGATCTGGGCAACGATGTGTTTGAGCTGCAGAGAAGATGGGAGAGACAAGCAGGGCTGGAAGAAACTCTCTGTGCCCTGAAAAGGGGACTTAGGGCTGAGGACCTTCACTGCTGGACCATGGCAAGGGATTCAGAAGATAACATTGCCTGAGTCTGAAGCGTAAAGATATTTTTCAAACAGCAGGGGCCCAAATACCACAGCTTGATAAACTTTAAAAGGCTTGATAAAAAAAACCCTCAGAGGAAATAAAACCAAAAATATTTCATGGTGCTTTTACTAATACGGATAGTCTATTAATTAGCTCTTCCTAGTTAACACACTTCTCTTTACATACTCACAAACTAACATTAATATAAAGCAGCGTTATCTCGTCATATTAAGAGCACAGATGATCAGGGAGGGCAGTGACCATGCGTGCACGACTATCAGGGATAAACTATTATCGTGAGTGAAAGAAAGAAGGTGAAAAAAAAAAAGAATATCCATTCCCCTTAGGGTGGAATAGGTCTAGTTGCACTATTTCTGTAACAAAAGATTGAATTTGTCTAAATCATTCTGAAGCACCTGTGTGATCTGACTTATTTAGCAATGTGTCCATCACAGTTTTGCTGTCAGAACCATAAGGGACTGGTATTTACTTTTTTTCCAGCACTTATAACCCAAAGAAATACTTTTTTTTTAAAAAAAAAAAACCAAACAACAAACAAACACAAAACCAAACAGCTAGTAAAGGAGTCCAGCAAGATTATAAATGCTGCACAATAAAATGGGAGCCAAAATAAGGAAATCATTAGTTAAAATAGTTAATCTGTATATGACATGTCAGTGTTTAATTATATATATAAGGCAGAGCAGATTCCTTCTCTTTATGAGCAAAGATACATATGATTTTAGTGCTTTAATTAGCTTTGTACTCTAATTACAGCCATACAAATCCTTATTTCATTTAGTGTTTTCTGTCACAAAGACCTCTGGAAAAATAGAGTGTAGATGAGTTATTTCCTCTTCTTTAAAACTGTGGCATTAACTATTTTGTCATTTAATAATCAAAAAGCCTCATAAAATCTACTTTGCGCCAGTGGACACACTCATAACAATGTTTTGCACGTGGAGAGTTTAAACCCTCTCTCCCTTTCCCTCAGTGTAAATACTGCTCCTTTTGTTTACTCCTGCTAAGCAGCAGAAGGCCTTCTGGGATGCTCAAAAATTACAGTGTGCTTATAATTATTGTTAGTAAATTAATACAGGAGCACAAGTAAATACTGTATGCAGTATGTAAATTTTTTTTTTTATAAGCAAATCAGATGGGGAATATCAAGGTAGTAGAACCCCAAGGTCTAGGCTTAATTCAACTATTTAAACTGTAAGTTTTAAACAGTGCTCTCCTTGCTCTTGCTCTCAATGTCAGAAAATCCAGAGATCACCTGTGGCAAATATGCTCAGCATATTTGCTACATGCTGTAGGGATAGGCTGTGTCCAGTAGGAATGAACAGGCATTTTTGCCGAATAGACCGTACAATCAAAATGCAAATAAAGAATTGACTGAACACTAGTTAGAAAAGTATTTTTCATCATTAGCTGAGAAGCTAAACAAACAAACAAAAAAACCACCTGTCATTAGTGAAAGGGGGGAAAAAAAAAAACATTGGAAGTTTCTCTACGCCCTGTGGCATGAATTGCTTACCCAAATTTTTCTGTTTCATTGCAAGTACCTATGTGAAATACTTCTCAGATTTGCGCTTTCACATATACTTCTCTGACTTCATTGTATCTGTATTGTACTTTACTGCAGTATGAAATGGGGAAATAGTTGTGTCACAGTTTTGGATAATGTTATTTTAAAGTATTATAATTAAATCTTATGCGACCCAAACTAACCTCCTTGAGAAACCGGCCCTGTGTGCACAATCTGGTGTTCAATTTCCAGAGCTTTATGAATTACTGATTTTATTTTCAGTCTTTGAAAACAATAATGTGATAAAAACAGTGTTGCTATTCTATTTGTGAACTGAAAGAGATGCTGAGAAAGATTACAGTTCTTGGACACTGTTGCATATTTCATCCGTCTACGTTTGTATATGGAAACATCATCAGGGTTGTATATTGTGTATACTATTCATAACTTACTCAAGTCAGTAAGTCGCTTTTGATTTTAATGCTTTACCATTTAATTGACATTAGCATGTAATAATGTAGATGGTTTGTGGCAACTCACGAATAAGCTATTAGCCATCACAGACAAAACACCAGTAAAGCCCTGCCAAAGACCATGCAACCCCATACTGGTAGGTGAGGGAGCATACCAGTATGCTGGTCCAGCGGCTAAATCCTGCCTAAAGAGAAGAGACAGATAATATGGAGGCTGATTTAGCTATGGGTTATTGTACAACCTGTACAGCTGCGAAGCAATTATGCCGCAGCCTGGGGGTATATTCCACTTCCCTGAAGCCTCCACTGATGTCTCCTGCACGAAGCCAATTCATTCAGGCCTTGCATGCAGTAAAGTCAGCTCTGATAGCGTTGCAGTGAATTAACTGCTGATGAACGCAAACGTATGTATCGTACAATTACCCGTGTGTATTCGGTTTGGCTTTGTTCTCAATCAGCTTTATATCTGCAGAACTATATGGCCACTGCTAAAGACAAATAGGCCTCTGGCATCAAAGTTTTCTGTCAATGAGCTGTCAAAAGCAATGCTAAGTCAGCTGTGTTTCAGTGATGTTTAAATAAGCATAAAACAGACAACACGCAACAATCCAGCAACTGGTTTATGATGGTACCTTTTGTTCTGGCGCAGAACCTCCGAGCCCTTTCTCCAGGTAATAACTGCTCTGGGAGAAGCACTAGGTTTACAACCAATTGTAACTTCACCTCCAACTTGAACAACAGACATTTTTTTCACGGGATTATTGGAAAAATCAGGTGCCGCAGCTAAAAATAGAGAAGAAAGAAGAAAGAAGTGCAAAATGGTATGCAGCTGACAAGTTACTAAATGAACTTTCTAAATTCCTCTCGTAGAGTTACATAGTAGGTGAATCCAATAATTGCTTTGCTTTTAAGATTTCTGCAAAAGTAGATATATCAAACATGAAAAAAAGTATTTAAGTACCAAAGAATGGAATTCATTGTCTCTTATTTATGCTGTTTCTAAACTGTCTGCCTAGAAACTCTCTGCTCTGATAATCATTCCTTGGGGTAATCTGCAGACTGAGAGAATGGGTCTATCTGTGGTGAAGAATGAGGTTCCCGAGCAGAGCGATGTCAGCAGGATAAACATCACACCTGATGGTTTGGGTTGGAAGAGCCATTAAAGACCATCTAGTTCCAACCCTCCTGCCATGGGCAGGGACACCTTCCACTAGACCAGGTTGCTTAAAGCCCCATCCAACCTGGCCTTGAACACTTCCAGGGATGAGGCATCCACAACTTCTCTGGGCAACCTGTTCCAGTGACTCACCACCCCGACAGTAAAGAATTTCTCCCTTATATGTAGAGTAAATCTACCTTCTTTCAGTTTAAAGCAATTACCCCTTGTTCTATCACTACATGCCCTTGTAAAAAGTCCCTCTCCAGCTTTCCCATAGCCCCCCCTTCAGGTGCTGGAAGGCTGCACACTGAGGTCTCCCCTCAGCCTTCTCTTCTCCAGGCTGAACAACCCCAACTCCCTCAGCCTGTCTTCACAGGAGAGGTGCTCCAGCCCTTGGATCATCTTCATGGCCCTCCTCTGGACCCGCTCCAACAGGTCCATGTCCTTCTTCTGTTGGGGGCCCCAGAGCTGAACACAGTACTCCAAGTGGGGTCTCACGAGAGCAGAGCAGAGCAGCAGAATCCCCTCCCTCGACCTACTGGCCACATTTCTTTTGATGCAGCCCAGGATATGGTTGGCTTTCTGGGCTGCAAGCACACATTGCTAGGTCATGTTGAGCTTCTCAACAACCAACACCCCCTATTCCTTCTCCTCGGGGCTGCTGTCAATCCATTCTCTGCCCAGCCTGTATTTGTGCTTGGGATTGCCCTGACCCATGTGCCCAGCCACATGTATTCATCTGCAGAGTTTAGAGTATTCAATTACAAATACAGTTTTTCAATGGCTTTCTGTTCATAAACCAACGCTGTTTTCTGAAAATGTGTTCATTTGTCCAGTAATTTATGTGAAAATTCACTCTTGGAGAAGGAGAAAACACAAGACCTGTACACCAGTTAGGTGCTCTTAAAGTCTGTGTTTTACTGGGTTCCCTAGTATTTGGCTGTTGAACAAACTTTATATTTGGAGATCTATAACAGAATACTAATAATATATGAAAAAAATCAGTTTTATGTGCATCTCTGGTAATCGTTAATGAGATTATTTGCTATATATTATTTGGGTTTATATACATATTTGCCATATGCTCTTTGTTTATAGTTAAAACTATTTTTCCCACTTCCTGAAATTGACTTTTAAAACCAGCAGACTATTAATAACTCATAACACTAAGTGAGAAACAGCATTCATTAAAATTATATGTATGTGATAAAAAGACCACACATGGGATTAGAATTTTCCTCCAAACCAGTCACAAAATAAAAAAAAACCCAACACATTCACACATGGGCAATGAAGAGCAAGCAGCAAAGAAATATCAATAGACTTGAACTGCCAGGTGGAATTTCATCTATTCATTTCTTGATTTCAAGTTTTTAAAATGACTGTCCTCTTATACTTGCTACCTGCTTATTTTAGTGGCATTTACTCACCAATCACCCGCAACTCAGCATTGGCATAAATAGTATCGTACTTGTTTTCTGCCACACACTGATAGAGGCCAGAGTCTGACATATTCAGCATATGTATAATAAGAGTTCCATTTTCTATTTGAATTCTTTCCTGATAAAAGAAAAACAAGCAAAAATCATTGACAGAGCCAATGAGTGTACAATCCCAAAGTTTTTTGGTATTGCACTGATGCACTGGATCATAATTCAGAAGCAGAAATGTTATTTTCTTGGAAGCAATGTGAATGAATACATCAGAAATACGATGTATAGCTCGGCTATATGATGGTGGTTACGTTCGCAGACCTCTTAGCTCTTAAAACTTTTCAAGAACTCCAGGCACATGTTGCAGTCATTGCCCTGGGGGGGTTTGCACAGATGCTCCAGCTGTGGCATGTGTTTCTCTGCATTGCTGAACTGTGAATCTGCGGGTGTGCTTCCCCATGAAGCAGACGCAGACGCGGCTACTACAGGGCAGGTACAGCTGCTCCACACTGGGAGCCTGGACCATCTTCCATACTGCTCCCGAGAAGCAGCACCTGCAGCCCTGGCTGGGGGCATGGTGCAGCATGGCCTACCCCCCTCATCTGAGCAGATGAATCTGATGATGATAATCTAAGATGATCAGAAAAGCTCCACAGGAGACAGAGGTGCTCACATAATGGAAAAATTTCAAATGTCATCACATCACAAGTCACAGAAAAACGATCCACTGAAAAAGCTCTACTGAAAGCCAACACTTTCAAATTCCTGTTGGAAACCCGCAGGCAGCTGTTCAGATCAGAGGGAGAGCATGCTCCTCATGGCTTGAATTGCTATACACACTAAGTTTCTTTGGTGCAATTCTGCTGAAATAGAGGAAACTGCACAGTAGGTAAATTTGGACCAGAGCTGGGGTTTTGGTGTATTAAAAAGAATTTTTATTTGCTCTATTTTGGTAAATAGAAAAGAAAAAAAGAAAAGCCTGTTTCATGCTAGAAGCATAAGTTAAAGCTAAATATTTTGTGATTTTACAATTACTAGCCTCTGGAGACAATAATAGCTTCACTGCAAAGCGTAACACTGAGAAGGAGAAGAGAATATGTTCCCCAAAACAGATCAGTGTGGAAGAAATCCACAACAGGGAATAGAAATTCCATCACCAAATGCAAGTCTGAAACAGCAGATATTACTATTACTATTATGCTGCTCCTTTAGTCTGGCTCCGCTGCAGTAATGGGAGCATACATTGCTAGAGTGTACATTGCAGGCTTTGCTGAATGGCTACAAGCATCTAAAATGTATTTGTGATCTGCTGGACATATAGAACCTAACTTGCCAAGTTGCCACAGAGAAGCCAGTTGCACAGCCTGTTGCAGGGATTTCTCTTGCAGTGCTTGCAGAGGGGAGAGTGACACCTATTGAGCCCCAGAGCATTATTTTCCAAAACTCTGGCTTTTCCTTGGAGGTCTCCCAACCAAGCTCTGACCCAGACCAACCTTGTTTAGCTTGGAAATTTGATGAGAGCACAGCCTGCAGTTGTACGGCTGGTGTATTGCAAACTAATTAACAATGTTACATTACTTATCCACTGTTAATTTTTTTTGAGGCTCTTGCTACAGATATCTTTTGCATACTTAGTTGTGCCTTCAGGCTGTTTGCTAGCCTCTCGATGCACTCTATTTTTACAAACAGCCTTTGAATATAAAACCCCCCTCTGAAGCAACACCTGTGTTTCATACACATGCCGAATCCCCCACCATTCTCTGCCGGCTCTTTTGAGCTGTGCAGACAAAGAGAAGAATAAAGCACACCATGTACACGAGCAAGAATAATGCAGGGATGACCAACTAGGTGGTCAGGGAGAAAGGTTTGACAAAGAGTAGACAATATCCTCAGAATCAGCCCCAAGGTGGAAAGCGTCTGGAAGGTATTCTTCCTGTGATATTTCCAACAAGCAGGGTGCTGTGACAGACTGAATATTTTATTACACCTCCCTTGTTCTTTCACCTCCAAACTATCCATTTTGTCCATTGAGCAATAACATTCAGCATTTTGTTGCCTGAAGTATTCCATTTACAATACACTAAGTACTGTGAAAATGTCGGTTGAAAATGCATCTGCCGAGTGTTTTATTCTTTTTTATTCAAACTATGCAATTGAAGAGTGACAGATAATCTTGCTTAGGAAGAGGTGACAATGAATAGAATGATCAGGTTCAGAAAAATTGCAATCCAAGTAAATTCTGGCTGGCCTTCTCAGATGCTGGTTGGGCTCTGTTTAGGACTAATCCAGCAGACAGTCATATGGAAGATTGGACCCCCCTCCAACTGCTTCAGATAAGTACTACTAAGTCAAATAAGTGTAGGTTCTGCAACCCAGCAGGTGCTAATTTGCCCCATATGTTTTGGAAATGATTCTGTGTCTGTTCTTGCTAGACAGACATTAATCACAGTATTTTTTTTTTTCCAACCAAGTTAAGAATTCATTACAGATGAGCCATGCCATTTTATCCCCAACAGATGCTGAATAGATGCTTAATAAAAACTTGGTCTCAGCAGAACACAAATGGAGTAAAGAGTCTCTTACCAGAGAAGCCATTCTCCATGAGGTTGCCAGCAACTGAAGACTGGAAGATAGCTGTGCCAAAGCTTGGCCAGCACAGAAGTACAATTATATTGCCCGGGAAGAGACAAAGCTGGGTTCTCAAAGCCCTGTCTACATAAGTATCTGATCAGGTTCCTTAAATGCTTGAGCTCCAATTGATTTCCCCTCTTCTCCTGCACTCCTACCCCTTCACTGCTTTCCCTTCCACTTGGTCCTTTTTCCTTTAAGTGAGTTTTTTCACTTATTCACTTTTTCCTTATAACTTCATATGGTTTTCTTTAGTCTATTATTCCTCTACATAGCTCCAGAAAAGCATTAACCTCAAAGATAGCTGATTTTCATAGCTGACTGATAATTCAGTTAAAGGATTAACATAGCACAAGAATGGCCATACTGCATGAGACCAAAGGTCCATCCAGCCGACAGATTAAGAACAGAAACAGAAGAAAAGTGCAGGTTAACAGGCTGATCACTTTGCAATACCAGCTCTGAAATGCTCTTCCACAAACAGTCAATTGGCATCCTACCGGTTCTCAAATTACAGATTATGTCTACAAATGTGTTTAGTGTTTCTGGACAGACCCTTCTTTCCATAACTATAATTGTTATTTTTAAACCCATCCACACCTACTGCCATATCTTGTAGCAATTAGATGCTCTGTAAGATAAATCACATGAAGAAATTTGTGTATCTATTTATACATAAACTGGCAATACCATACATTTGCACTAAAGATGAACTCCAAGAACCAAGGCTTTGTTACAAATTTTGTGCTGATATGTTTATTTTGATATGTCAAGCTTTAACAAAATCTCTGGAAAAAGGTAATGCACTGTAAAATTAATGTCATGACTAAATCATGTAAAAACAAAAAAAGACGAGCAAGAAAACAAACAAGATGAGAGGAACCTTACCTCTGATGTGAGCGGCTGGCCATTTTTTAACCAGCTGTAGGAAGGGCTTGGTTTTCCTTTTGCCTTACATTCCCAAAATAAACTGTCATAGAGAGACAGAAAGGCATTTTGGATTTTTTTATCCCATTCCGGGAGTGCTGGAAAGAATATGCAAACCATTTTAAGCAGGAGAAAAATTATTTTTCTGGAGGTATGCTGCCATTAATTAATGAACTGAGCAAGGCTAATTAGTATTTGTCCAACAAATCATTATATTGCAAGTGAATTCTGCACAACAATTCCCTGGCGTTAAACTTCAGGACTAACTGGGGGAAATGTTAGAGACCAAGTGGCTAGTGGACAGGAACTGCAGTTTAGATATTATTCATTTTTATGGCCAAATTTTGCAGAAGCAGTGATTTTAAATGCCTGAAATTCTGGACACACTCTCTGAAAGAGACCCCTATTTTCTAAAAAAACCAGTACTCCTCTCAAGGTACTTGGATCTGTGTACCAAAAATAGAAAAAGTAAAATCATTAGGCAGCAGCTAATAAAAATCATGGATTGCAAATATTACCCCTCTGTTTTACCCACATACTGAGACCATGGGTTCTTTGGTTGTAATTTACAACATAAATACGACACAAAGGAATTAGGGTGATCTCAGCTTAGAATACCATCTTCTGAATACTTGTAGCACATTGACACAAATTTATTGCTGCTTAAAAGCAGAATTTGTAAGACTCACATACGAGCTCTGTAAACATCCAACTAAGTACTCAAGGACTGAGCTGGGCAGGAATTTGCTTGAGGCAGGCTGACATTTAGAATAGCTGTCAATATATAGGTGAATGTAAGACCTAGGGAGAACAACTAACGACCACCTAACTTGGGGATAGACCAAAGCCAAATGCAGCTGAGATACTGGGTTGCATCCCTCTGCCTCTAGCATAAGTGGCTGGTGTCTTAACATCCCGTGAAAGATTTTTGGCTGGGTTATTAAAGCATAGTGCTCTAGTGTGCATAAGTATATACACACACATATACGCGTAGTTCTTACATAAAGCAATTTAATTTTAGGAAGACGATCATTATCCTTTAAGACTAGCAGAACAAGCTACTAAAAAGCTTCTCTACAGCATGACCCTGCGGGTATCTCATGACTCTGCCCCAAAGTACCTCAAGATGGTCCAACACTAGACTAATCAACATCAATGAGCCGCTTCCCAGAACGGGAAAGTATTGGGATAGAGTTCACCATGCTTCAAAGTGATTCTAATTGAATGTCATTTTTAATGCTCTCAAAGCCTAAGGCATGGGATCTAGGTATCACACACAAAGCAGCAGACAGTGTCCAGGAAAGAAACCTGGAGATTTCCTAGAGACAAGCTGCCTACAGAGAAAAAACACCGCAGAACAAAGATTAAGCAAGAAAAAGTCAATTACGTAGATCATATACCAGCCCACTCCTAATATGATTAAAAAAATCCTGTATAAAAGCTGCATGAGTGCTGTTTATATATTTCACTACAAACAGCTATTAATTAATTTACAAAGCACATTTAATAAGCGCATTGTTTTAGATTGTATTAACTGATCATAATTTTGTAATTGCCTGTGCTGTTATCAATCATGTCCAGGTAATTACTGAACTTAATTTTAATGGAACTGCTTGATTGATGTTCTGCAAAAATTAGTGAACAATGAGAACAAAAATAACCCACTAAAAGCAAAGAAATAATTAAATATTCAAAACAGCAGCAGGCTGCTCTATTCCTGGCATATATCTTGATATTAGCCATGGCTGCAGGAGGCTGGTAGCTTATCAGCAAAGCCTGCACCTCTTCATTAGAAGAGATTTACTTAAAATAAAAATACTTGTCAAGGTCTTCTCAACAGATGTTAATTGTAGGCTCTGTCTATCTTTCTGTAATTTTTTTCCTCACTGTTACATTTTTTTTTCCCCTTCTCCTTGGAAGATTTACAAGGTAAAGAAAAGATCTCCCTTCTTATTCATGTCAAGATATGTTGCTTTCCCTGGGTATTAACAATGGGACTGAAGAGCACATAATTCACCTTGGCTGTGAGGGACCATCCTGCGTGCCTTGGATCACAGGAAATGAATGCATGCAGGAAGGGCAAGGGAGAAGAGTTTCACAGAAATATTATTCTCCACTTTCAGACGAGGGGGAAGGAGAGGGAGGCAGTGGAATGAGTCTCCCCTGCTTTGCCCTCATCTGTTTATGGAGCAATAGAGTTCAGCTAGAATAGGAGGTGAAATAATCTTACAGTCGCATGAACCAAAACCTCATGAATCCTTCCCTGATCTGCATCTGGGGCAGCACAGCTTTACGCTGCTGTGAGCTATTGAGAGTAAATCTTTTTGCCTGCCCTTAATGTTTCATGTAAATGTACCAGGGATTTCTTTCTGCCTCATATTAACCTTTACAACTTCATCATGGCACAGCCCACATTTTCAATCTGAGTTTTAATGCAAACTATCTTTATTTGCTGAGGATGTAATTCAGTGAAGGTCACTGCAGACCTCCAATCATTTTATAATCCGCTTAACCTGAACTACATTTCCTATCTCCAGTGAGGGGCTAATAGACTTCATCTACAAAATACATCTGAACAACATCATGCTGTGTAAAAAAAAAAAATAAATGAAGAAATTAATCAATCTGCTTACCATAGACAAATAATTGACCTCTTGCAATGTTTCTTCCTCGAATGTTTCCTGCAATGCACTCATAAGAGCCTTCGTCTTCTTGCTGAACGTCTGGGATTTCAAGAACTCCTTTGGTTTTGTGGTGTTCGATTTTCTTTGTCAGTGAGTTTCCACCAGACCTCTTCCAGCTAATACTAGGGACAGGACTAAATAATTGTATTTCATTAGGGAAAAAGAGAGAGCATTTGTTATAGCAGAGAAAAGATAATGTGAAAGCCTTTCATAAGAGTAATAATATTTAAAAAAAGAAATCATTTCTCTTTCTAAGCATGACATACAGAGGTTCATAAGACTGAGATTTTATAACCTGTCCAATTTATTTAGGGGCACAAGTCCAGCAGTGGGATGAAGTCCTTTGTCAATTCTATGATTGCTTCTTAGGCTAATTTGGATTTTCCCCACAGTCACTCTTACTTAGGGCTCAAACCTGCTTTTTAAACACTGTGACACTGAAGGAATGACTTTAGAAGTCCAAATCAACACCACAGAAGCACTGAATTATTGACTGGTTTTCAGAGCAAACAAATTCCCTGTAGCATTAGAGGTATTTTCACACCTCAAAATAGGAAACATTGGACAAGAATTCAAAGGACCTAAAAATACCAATAAATCTAAGTATAAAAAATGGGAGCCAGGGTAGAGGAGGGCGGACAGACAGTTGAGCAAGGAAGTGGAAAGCATGAGACACTGAGGCTGAAAGGAGATAGAGACAAGAGAGACTATTTCTTCTTTCATGTTTTTGTAGCTTTCTATCATTTTCATTTATATTTGGATCAATGTGTTCTATACAATAAAAAAAATAGTCAAGCATGAAGGCGGCTATAAATACTTCTTAGATTTCTGGTAATATCACAAACCATACGAGCCTCACTTTCATGATCTATTATGTCACCAAAACACTTTGAAATATTAATAGTCTTGGATTTCACAGTTGCTTTCTGTTTCTGCAAACTAAAGTAAGCTGCTTTTTCTAAGCAGACGAGCAGTTACGCCTTGAACAGCTTTTTACAGAGGCTTTGGCTAAATGCTGACTTCTTTTCCATTGGAAGTCACATCAACAGCAAACACTCAGGACTGAACTTGAAAACCTAACTTTCATGGAAATTCGAAGGGCACGCTGCCCTTGTCTGCCAGTCCCCAAGGTCTCTGGCCTGCAGTGCTGACTTACAAAGCATTTATTCCTTTTTAGCAGAGGCTGTAACTGCTCACACCTTAAATTATTTAGGTCCCTGGTTCAAATCCTTGTTCATTGACCAAAGAAATCAAGTCACGAATACAGAATGGATGAATTGCCTAACACAGGTAAGTTTAGGCCCAATTTCTGCATTTTGAGTCTCTGACGATAATGTTTGCAAGTTCAGCCAAAGCCAGAAGAACCAGGACCCGGAGGAAGTGTAAGTAGTAAGCAAATTACACTGATTGAACAGCTGGGCAGGTGTTAACAGAGTACCTACAAACATAAAATCAACAGAAATAGACTATGAACAGGACAATTTACAGCGAGAGCACTCTAACATACAATGAATAACAATCCCATAAACTTGCTCAGTTCTGCATTTAAGCTTGAAAGATAGGACAGGTGCACTGGAAGTGCTGGTGGGAGTTCAGCTGGGCAAGGGAGCCTCCAGATTGCCCTTTCCCCTGCTCCGTAAAACAGAAAATCATAGTCCCAAGACCGTAAATTTAACCTAGGGATCCCTAAGAGCTATTTAAGCAGCGTAATAATTTCCCTAGCTACCTTACATTTTCCATCATAACTGAGCTTCCTGTGAAAATGGTTTGGAACTAAACGCAATTTGCTCCAGATTTGGGAATAAACTCTGCACTGGTATGTATGTATATGGATAATATATATACACACACGCATAATTTATACACACACAAATTCTGACTCTTACATGACTCCTCCAATACAGCTGAACAACTTACTATGAAAGAGAGACTGGGACATGTCAGACATCATTAACCAGTGAAAGAGCTGGAAAGAACAACCGAGATTTTATTCTTCTATTTCCCATTCTGGTTCAAGACCTATATGGCTGTTTAAATTCCAAATCTTTTCAGACAACAGTAGTCGTCATCACCACCTTTATTGATTGTCCTTCACTATGAGACCAAAACCTATTTCAGATGCAAACTTGTTTAATAGTATTCCTTACTAGGAACTTTCAGAGGGCTTGTCTGCTTTTCCTCCAATGCACTGGTTGGTCTGTTAAAAGGTGGTGTCTCTTCTACAAACCTTGCCTGACATTATTCATGCAGAATTTCTGTAATCCAAGTTACTTTAACTATTTAAAAGGAATGCAGCTCTTGTGCAGAATAGGTCTGTCCTGCAATTGCCATGCTCTATGCAGAAAAACAACCAGAGATATTTTGCAGTCTTGCAGTAGGTTGATACAGACTGTTGACAATGCAAAGGAGAGCATGGCTGGCTTCTAAAATGCTATTGCATATTAAACAGTGGGTGAATAGCTACTGTATAACAGAAAGCATGCACTGCATTGAATGCCAGAAGCATTTAACTACTTACTTTAAAGGTATCTCTTCTGGATTTTTTTATTTTTAACAAAGATTAAAGGAAGCTAAGAGCCATATGGGAGAAGAAAAACAGCAATTAGATGCATTCATTCATGCTCCACTACCTGAAAGTGCTTCATCTAAATATCTCCTATTCTATTAGCCATTTGTTTTCTCTTAGTACTGACTACTCATGAATAAGGAAAGTCTGCACTGACATCATTGCCAGAGGCAGGGCTCTGTGGAAAAAGGCCCCTTCTGTCAACTTGTCAAGTCAAGTTTACCAAGGTTTGAGCTGAAGACGCTGCCCTGTTTTCCTCATCCACACCACACACTTATAATGACACGCTTGGGGGTGTTTCAAGGCAAACTCACCTCATTTTTGGCTGAACACAAGGGTGTTTGAAATGCACTCCCTCTGATGTTAGCTGTAGCAGGATGACATAAAAACCTCAGTTTGGTTCATCAACTTGGCTGTGTTTAAATGCAGAATTGCAATAAATACTTCACAGCACTTTGTTCTCCTGCCAGGGAGCCTTGCACCGCGTGGCCTAGTTTTATCAGCAGAGGGAATTCATTTGTCAGGACAGCAGCTCCTCATCAGCCTGAGCTACAGGTTAAATGAGCAGGCTGCAGGAGGATCCACAGCTCAGCCATGTGCCATCATCCCTAGGAAAGACCTTCGTTATCACAGCAGCTTGAGATGTGCACTTCTTCATTGCCTTTGCTGACACCTCATTATCACAGGCTTGCCAGCATCTTCAGTCACTGTATTTCACAGAAGGTGGGGGGTTTTTTGCTGGTTTCACCTTCTTCTGATGTTTGTTAGTTTACATTTCTATAACCAAATGTCTTAACAGCAACCATTACTACAGGCCATAAGAAACCTTTCAAGGTTAAAAAAAAAAAAGATGGTGAATTTGGATTTAAAATTTACTGTAATGAAATTGCTTTTTGTAACAAATTATCCGTTTTACAAGTTGATGCTTTAAGAAGTGAAACAGCCTTTTAGGTACAGGTAAGTGTATACAAAACCTAGTTTAATAAACATAGCCTTGTGAATTTTTGCAGGATTGTGTTGCATAATCATATTCTATTGAAGGCCAGTATCTGACATTGCTACACAGACTAGTACCTTCCCATGTAGATTCAGGGTGGTCCTGCAACTGGTGGATCTTCTTTTTCATTTAGTCACTACCAATAACCAGATTAAAATAGATACTGCCTGGGGCTAAAGTTTTGGAATATATAAAGAAACAATGAGTACACTTTTCAAATTTATTACACTTCATAGACAAAATCTTGCTTTCACCTGAGTAAATAAGAAAACAGTGCATAAATATGAGCGCGTCTTTGTACATAAATCTGTAGTTTATTTGAAACCTTCAGAGCATCTAGGAGTACTAATTTAATTTATATTCTAGCATACAGGCAGCAGAAGCACAAAACCATAAGTTACTAACTCAGAAAGAAAAGCCGATGGAAAATATTTTTTGGTTGGTGACAAGTCTTGTCACACTGAACATGAAATTAATTTGTCTGCAGCATTACAGCCCGCACCAAGATGAAGGTTCCACTTTTTCGCAGCAAAGACTCAGCAGCCAGATGATGCATTGCATCTATGCCTCATCTTTTGTCCTATGCATCTGAGGACACTTCACAATAAAATTAAATCTACGGCTTCGATAATGAAGACCATGCCTAGTTAAACAAATGAGACAAAGCTGAGGTTTGAAAGCTGCTATCATGTCTGCATCAACTGCTGACACAAGGAAGAATTAGGATCCAAGGGGCATAATTAAAGCACTCAGGCTTCTAATCATCTTGATGTATTACTTGGGAAACAGCAAAGAAACAAAGTTTTCTGAAACCTGATATTGTGCCTCCTTTGCCTGCGGTCACAAGCCACTCACCTTAACTATGTAAGAGAGGATCTCCCAGAGCTGCTTGCTCAGCCCTTAAAGTACAAAACTTAAGGTATTAGTTCTGTCAGGAACACAGGCTGAAAACGGCAAACTTCACTTGTGGTGGCAGAAGTCATTCATATATATGACTTTAGAATCACATAATTGATCCTTCCGTAGCCTCCTACATAAACTCCTTGAGAATATACTAGAATAGCCATCTAATGAAAAAGTAAAGCCTGGTATTTTTACGTAAGTTTAGTAAAGATGGTTATTTGGAAAACCCTCGTAGCTGTGTGATTGTTGACTTATACTAATAGCTTCTAGAAAAACCCTTCCCTGAATACATTTACAGGAATATGTGGGATCTTCCCATGAAAAATGATATTCTGGGTTGAAAGAAATCCTGTTTTATATTATTCACATATGCTCTTTACAACCTCAGCTGGCCATAGCCCATCTGCAGGGACTCTGAATAGATTATTTCCCCATCTTCAAGAAGAGAATGAAGAAAATGTAAAACACAGACATAATTTAATAAATGTGTGCACCAGACATGGAAACTACTTCGCTTGTTTTCATTCCATAAAGTATTCTTATTTGTGAAACAGAAAAAAGTTATTTTGGAAGAAATCTACAGAAAGAAGCACAATAACTCAACTGAACATAACTCTTTGCATTGTACTCAAATCCTTCAAAGACATAGTGAACAATAATTTAGATGTATGGCATGATTAATATAGCTTGATCCAAAACATGACTTTTAATACTGGCATAGTACTAAACACTGTCAACATAATGAATATTAGCACAGAACACAAAGTCTCATCTCTTCTATTAAATTGCCACAGGCTGCCGTATTTGAAATAGTCAAGCTACTATTTCATATTTGCAGTTTTCCCTCTTTCAAAGATTTAAGTATAATGTACACTTTTTGCCTATTTTAGGTTCCCCGTGCCAATCATCAGATAGTTCCATGCTACTTACATTCCTTTTTGCCTAATCGCATTTCCATCACATTGAGGACTAATTTACTTTTCAAAAACTTCTCTACTATTCATGGTCTGTGTTCTGCAAAGCAAGATTCATAGTCAAGAGCTGGCCCGGATGCTTTTGTCCATTCAGGCTCCATCCCTCCAAACCTTCTTCCCAGTAATAAATAATAATTTAATAAGTAATAAAAGTAATGAATAAACTCTTCACTCCCCCCATACTTATTTTCCTCAAAACAAACAAGGTTTTATGACTGGGCTAGAAGACCATTTATGAGTCAGTCATGATACGATACATGTAAAACGCAAGAGAGCTTTGCAACAGAAGTATGTGGAATATACCTACCTCTGGGCGTCCCACAGCCTGGCTGAAGGGGTGCTTCTCAGTGAGGTGGCTGTGAGTTCCCCCAGGTAAAAAGGCATCTTAAAACTCAGCCATAAGTCTGGCCTCTTGTACTTGCGTTTTAAATGTGGAAGTGGTTTTTTTGAGCAAGGTCCAATAGGTATGATTTGCTGTTCCGTATAGAAAAGAGATGCTATTTCTCCAAATACGATCAAAGTACTTTCATTTAAGACTTTTGGAGACCAAAACCACAGCAGGTTGCCTATAATCTGCCTTAGATGTGAGAGATTTCTGTTATTTATAGTGCAGAGGTAGTAGCTGCTGACAACATTGTCTGAACCAGTGGACTAACAGTATGAATATAGAAAATTATGGATAATGGGAAAGCAGTTCTGAAATCCAAGAGAGATAATAACCATTAGTGCTTGTGGCAGATCAGAGGTATAGCTCAACAAATGTTGAGCTGAATTGATTTTAACATAAACAGACAATAGTAGGGGCTAGTGTTTTAGTGGAATTTAGGCATCTAAAGGTGCAGATGGCCACACTGCTGCATTTATATGTGCCTAACTACAATTGTAAACAGCTGGAGGTAGGAAACTTCAAGCTTTTAACAATACTACTAATCACCTACATACCTTTAGAAATCTGGCCTTATCTAAGAAGTTAAGAGTATTTCACCTGCAATCTGTTTCTCTTGCTTTATTCAGATATAAATGCCAGCTCTGAAATAAAGCTTTTTCACTGATTGGCATGTTAGTGAAAATGTGGTTCAAGGCTGTGTTCAGAGAGAAAAAGCAGACTGAAAGCAGTACAGATCTGTATGAGACACCTAACCAATAAAAAAAAAATCTAGAGAGGAGAAATGCCATGCCACTAAAGAGCCTTTACTCAAACAGCACCTCTCAAATACATACACTAAACTAGATGTACATTAGTAGTATGATAAAAAAAGTTGTGAAGAAAGGATTTCTGCCCATGGGTCATTGCTATTTACTCAGTATAACTCCACAGAAGTATAGCAGCACTGGTTTCAGCGGCAGTCCTATATATGAAGAAGAAAATGTATATTAAAGCTGCATTAACCCTCTCAGCCATTCCATTTCCTAAGCACACCATAGAAGGTCCTGTGCTCACTGAGGGATTTCATTATCCATATATCCTTTCAGTCCACTTTTTTTTTTCTTCTCCTTATGGTGCTCTTAAAATGGCAAAGCCTGTGTGCCACATTAACATGACCCATCTTTGTCCCTTCAGTAAGAAGTCACTGTTTTGTACATATCATTTACTCTGGTTTTGAAATGCTTTTATGCAGTCAACATATCACTGTTAAATGCTTTCCGTGCAACAGATGGAAATACGAAATGACAACTTGAAATGTAAAGCCTGCACTGACTCACACACAATTAAGGAGGTATTTAAGGAGAAGTAGCTTGACAGTATTTGGAAAGGAAAATCAGCTTTAGCAGAAGCGTTCCAGTCTGGTACTTGTTTTGGGCCAAAAAAATACATATGCCTTTGAATATGGCTCTGTAGAAATATTCTTCATCCTTAAACAAAAATTAGCCCCAAGATTAGTTTATATAAAAATCTCATCTGAAAGGGAAGGCCATTTCCCGTCTTATTAACTTTTTATTTGCTTTGTTTTTCTACTTCTCAGCATAGGTTCCAGAGGAACATTTGATTAATTTGCGCTGTCTGCAAGTCAGGCTTTTAACCTCTGGGAAAGCTCTAAACACTTTAAAAGCTTACAGCCTTAAAATGGATTGTCAAAGTGAACTTAAACTAAATAGAGGTCAACAATCTAAGGTTATTTTAGCTTTTCCAGGGAAAAAGGATGCTCATTGGAAAGACTAGTTTTTGTAGGCTGGTTACACTTATTCAGTTAACCATCTGCTCTTTGAATACAGAGCACCTCTCACTGTTTGAATGCACTGCTACTTCTGTAAAAGAATACAACAGTGGAAGCAACCTAGGAAAAAATATAGGCTACCACAAGCCTAATAGATTTGTAGATTTTAGCAGGGCTTCCTGCTCAGGCTTCCCAGGGCTCCTCAGCATCACTTTGGAGAAGAGGGTGCCAAGAGCCATGTGAATCTGTTAGATCCATTTTAGACAGTCTACGTGCTCTTGAAACACAGCCCGTTTCCCCAGGTTTCATTCGTAACAATGATGCCACACAGAAAAATATTCCTGGTTTGATGCAGATTGGATGCAAATGTGCAGTTACACCACTGAATGCTGTAACCTGAAGTAAGGTCTCACCCCAGAGTAAAACTCACAGGGAATACAGTCTTTGTTCTGGTTCCCCACCTTGAAGCTACAACCAAGTGAGCTTCAGTTATGGTATCGTTCCTTGAGAACACTCTGCACAGAAACCATCAAACCAAGATAAGGTTAAATAAAGTGTTTTACAAATTCACATCCTGACCCCAAAAAATTCTGCTGTGCAAGTTAGAAAGAACCGTTGTTTCTCACTGTAGAACAGTGTTAGAACCCACATTTTAAGAAAAAACAAAAATCTTACTTTCCAAGGGCAAAGCATTCCAGTTTAACAGATGAGCCCTTCGCTGCATATGTTGTTTCTGGAAAACGTACTTCAATCTTTGGTTCATACTCCCCCATCACACCTGTTGAACATCAAAACAGCTAGCACTCCAGTTGAGCCTCAGACCTGCCTAGTACAACAGAATTTCAGTGTAAAAGAAAGGATGGCATTAATAACGTTAAAGCCTTATGTTCCACCCGTGGCAATCAACACCTGATGTCTTGGGAGCAGGCTTAGCCTGCTGGGTGAAATTCGTGCTGAAAGCTTGCGTGAAATTTGTAAGTTCTATGCATTTGAGAGTTGAAGAACATGACTTTACACAAGCTCTACCTGTACAAGTATGTCATACTTGTGCATTAAGGTTTTAGAGATAATTTAGTGTTCACACCTCTATTAGAGGTGTTAACAAGCAATGCCTTTAACATTGGTCGCTTTTCAGGACACTGGATAGATTCTGGGTGCAAGAGAGAATTATGGAATCCTGTGACCAAAATACTTGTAAAACACTTAGAACTTTGAAACGTCCAAATGTGAGCTCCAGACTTGAGAAAGGCTGATGTAATTATCACATTTGAAAATCTGGCTGAACATCTGATAAACCACAGATAATCCAGTATTGGTTTAAGGCATTTAATTTTGCAGCAGGTTTGGGACTGCTTTAGCAACCCAAACTTTTAGCTGAGTGTCTTAAATGTGCATGCATCTTTCAGTGTAACTCATTGCAACTGTAACAACAAATATGAATCAGATTTTCCTGCACGCAGTGTTTTTGCCCAGATCCCACACTGAAAATGAACCAATTCTTATTTTATATTTAATTGGGATCTGGCTAATATTACACATACAATTTGCACCATTGCCTTAGAGGTTGCCTGTTTAGGACCCAATCCAGAGGCCAAAGTGGATGGGAGAGGGTAAAAAGAGACAGATAGAACAAGTCTGAGAACAAGAAGAGAGTGATGAAAAGGAAGAAAGTAGTCAGAAAAAATCTAAAGGATTTTCAATCACAGTTCATACAAATTATTAACTTTTGAGCTGTGGAACTATAACTTTGTTTTGGGTGATCTGATTATGTTGTAAAGCAGCAACGTCTCATAGTGGAAGTATTCTATAATGCACAGTTGGGTTTTATTTATCCTAGAAGCCTAACTCTATACAGGCTTTTGTTACTGACTGTCAACCACTGCTTTGCAAACAGTACAGGTACATTGAAATGTAGGTGAGCAAACTTACAAAACAAACTTTGTGTAAAGATTTCCCAGTTATATATTTCTCAGGGTGAACATTTAATTAGAAGTGTTGCCAGGAAAGTATTTGTATACGTGCAGGTGAGTTTCTCACCTCAATAACTCATTTTGAAACAGCTTTTTAGATTTGATATTTGAGCTATACCTAGACTGTAAATTTAGAAAGCTTTGCCGGATTTAAACTTCAACACAGGCATCCATAAGATGAAAAATATTACCATACCATTTGACATTCTCTTGCTATTTTTCAACGTTCTTGAGCTCTGCTTTCTTTGCATATGTGTTTACCTCATCATCCCAGTCCTGACAGTTCAGATCTCATTTCAATCCAGCAGAAACCATGGAATCATGTCCCACTGCACAACTTTTTACTGGGAGCCTTTTGCATCCATGAGTATGTATAGCGGTACCAATTCCCAACAACTGGAGATGAACCAGTTAGCATAGTGCTGCGTGTTTTTAGCCAAGCGTGCCCAGATAACTTACCGTCGCTGCGGAGAGTGAGAGGAGTGGGTGGCCCCTGCACGCTCTGCTCTGCTTTCGAGTTAGTTACAACGCAGGTGTAATTGCCCACATCCGATGGCTCAACTTTGGCAATGTACAGGTTTCCCGTCGCTTGCGAAACAAAGCGGCGACTATCTTCCTGAACATATAAAGTACTATTGTTGAAAATCCACGTGTAGGACAAGCCTAGAAAACACCAGATATACATCATGCATCCTTTCCAGTGTAACCTGCTTCCCGTTAGCGCTTAAGTGCAATATTGCCAGTTGAAAGAACGAGTCAGTTACAGGGCAAACCACTGGGGATGCACAAATTAGCAAAGGCAAAGTAAGCATTGCTTTAGTTTTAAACTCTCTTCAAGCCACTTCAGAAAGTCACAAAAGTTTTTGTCCCCCACTACTTTTCATTTTCCTGCTTAACCCGTTTTTAAGTAGGAATGGGAGTGCTGCAATGACATGAGAAAGCTGTTTTAGTAAATAATTTCTATTTAGAACACTTTCCTTTGAACATCCAGAGAGCAAATTGCTGGTCAGTATTATGGCTTCTTCCTTCACTCTGAAAACAGAAAAATGAAACTGGTAACATGGAGCTTTACCACCAGATTCTCATGAAGGGAAAAGCTCAGCTGTACATAAGTATTTTGGAGACTATTTAGTGTTTGATCCCATTGCACATTTGTCCCTTCTCCTTATCTTCCATACTTACAACCTGCTCCATGCTTTTTGTCCTATTCTGACTTCCTAACCATTTTCTGCCATCTTTCTCCATACGGTGTTTCACAGTGCATACCTTAATAATGTATGTCTATACTCTAGGCAACTTAAAAATAATTTATTTCACTAGCCCACCCTGGAAGGACAGATCTCCATGGGAGCTTACTGTCTAAGGACCCTGGTTTTTGGAAGGGCTTTTTGGCCAAGCCTTGTTACACTGCCATCAGTACCGCAGCAAGCGGGTTCAGTGCTTATAACACAGCACGCTGCAGGCTGGTACACGCAAGGTGTCCTGCCAGCCCCGCACTGCGGCTGCTCCACGTCACTGCCAGCACCCAACAGCGGGAGCAGGACTGAAATTCTGTCTTTAATAAGACAGAGTAAATCAGAAGTTGTAAAATCCACCAGCTTAGCTTTCCTTAATTAAATGTATAATTCATAAGCTAACAGGGTTCTGCCAACAGCTTCATTTTTACACATTTCCCCTATCAACAATCCCATTTGAAAAAGATTATTTACATTTCTTTCCCCTCCTCACTTACAACATGGGTACAGTATGGTAATAAGTCTGTAAACTCCAGTAGTTTTGTGGAGTTTTATGTTATCATCTTCTAACATTTTAGGACTCTCATTAGAAATGATGCATCTCCAGGGAGCAATCAATGACACTTTCTATACTTGGCCAAATCCTGCAATACGCTCTGTTTTACTACAACTTGATGCTAATTTTTTTTTTTTTCTGATGTACAGTAAACCTAGAAGATGCAGCAATTCCTAAAATAGCATAATACAGCACGTGTGTACATGTAAATGTGCATACACACAAGATAAAAGCACCATGTTTTCACATTTGCATGCCTATGTACTTTTAGGTACCTGGTTAAAGCACCTATTTACAGAAGAAAATCTGGAGATGGGTGGGTTTTGCCACAGGGAGGATCAACCTATAGCAAGATATAAGTGATGTAGCCATGACCTGATATGTCTTCTACTATATACAGACTATGTTCCTGTCTTGGGCACAAGTTTGATGACTACAGTCTGGCTGGACAAACAGACCAAAGTGACTGGTGTGGGCAAAACTCTGGTTTAACCTTACTTTTTGGAGTTCTCTAACCTGCAGGTTAGGGACTGTAAAGAAAACGCTGAAGATTTGCAGGGTAAATATTTTGATCTATGTTCAATTAAACAATATCTTGTAAACTTGGGATTTCTGTGGAAGAAATACCTTGGATCTGCAATCTCCTCGGATTTCACAAGAACACCAGAGGGCTAGTGCCCTGATGTCCCTCTTGTGACAGCTGGAACCCTTGCTTTCCTCCTCACACGGACCTACGCAAAGGCATATATGGGCTTATGTGCAAGAAAACTGCTCTGAGAGGTTGAACCACCAGTAGCTGGACACAGACTTTCATGAAAGGTTAGTGTATCTGATGATAAACAGGAAGTAGTTTAAAAAGCAAGATAAATAGGAAAAATTAGTTCGGAGGTTCTCTTCCCCAAGTCCAGTGCTGGTGCTAGCAATTACAGGGCTGAAGAAAGCACTGACTCGCTCTAACAGGGCACCACTCTACCTGCTAAGACACCAAATGGATGCCCATGAAGGACCCTCAAACCATCTTACAGTCATGGAATGGTTTGGGCTGGAAGGGCCCTTCAGAGCTCCCCCAGCCCAGCCCCTGCAGCGACAGGGACAGCTTTAACCAGAGCAGGGTGCTCAGAGCCCCGGCCAGCCTGGCCTGGGATGGTTCCAGGGACGGGGCCTCCACCGCCTCTCTGGGCAACCCCTTCCAGTGCTTCACCACCCTCACTGTAAACAGTTTCTTCCTTATCTCCAGTCTAAATCCATTCTTCTCTAGTTTAAACCCATCACTCCCTGTCCTGTCCCAACAGGCCTTGCTAAAAGCTTGCCCCCCCTTCCCGCAGGCCCCTCTCAGCACTGCCAGGCCGCACTCAGGCCTCCCCGCAGCCCCCTCCTCTCCAGGCTGAGCACCCCCAGCTCACCCAGCCTGGCACCGCAGACGAGAGG